TTGAAATGCATTTCTGTTGCTTCAAGTCTCTTCTTCATCTGTAAGGAGATTTTCCCGCACTCATAGGATGTCTGATATAAAACATTTAAGTTCTCTTTTCTTTGTTTCTAAATAAGATTTTTTTTTTCTGTTTCTTAATACTTTGCTTAGCTTTTAGAAAGAATTTTTGGTTATTCCAATGTGCCTGCGGATTTCAGGGTTGCATTTTCTGCCATCTGTTCAAAATCTTCCCAGATATTTAAATCCTCGTACATGTTTGATTTTTGGTCTCTCCAATCTGCAATTCTCATGTTCTTTTTGGCTATTCTTTCTTCTAACAACATGCATTCCGTCCTTTTACAATTGATGCTTAGTCCTTTCTTTTTGCTTTCCTTCGCTGCCTTCTATAGGAGTTGTCGTAGTTTCCTTTCTGATGAACTGTGTTGCCTAGACTTTATTAATCTAAGCTCAGTACTAGATTGGCGGCTAGGTCTCATCGTTTTACAGAGGAAATGGCTAGATATAACCGTTAGTTCTATTCTAATAGATTCCTCTCTCGTACTTCTCGCTTGTGGAACTCTTTTCCGTCTTCGTGCTTCCAGCCAATTTTGATCTTCAAAAATTGAAATGCAATGTCAATCGGTATCTTCTGTCTTTTTAATCCCTCTTCTTTTATTCTTCTTTCTTCCTTATAGTGTTTTTCTAATATTACCACAATCAGTAACCCGTTGCCCCTTAGTGGTTTAGTGCTTTGCTTGGAATGAAATGTTAAAGAAAAGTAATTATTTTTGTCTTCACACAAACTGATTGGGAAATTTAACAAAACACTACTTACTTGTGTCTTTTCTATAAACATTTTCATGGTAATTGTTCTGATAAACTTTCCTGTATGGTACGTAGGCGTTATGAATTTAAACGCAGTACTAAGTTGGCGGCAAGGTCTCGTCATTTTACAACTGAAATAGATAGATGCAACCGTAAGTTCTATGCTGACAGTTTCTTCCTTTGCACTTCTCGCTTATGGAACTATCTTTTGGCTTCTTGTTTCCCAATCAACTGTTACGTCCCGTGTCGTAAATAGGCCCCGATGCTACTGCATAGATGGTATTAACGAACGAACGATTTCTTTTTCTTACTCGTTTTTTTTTCTTATTGGTGAGAGGGACAGACGTGGCAGCTTGGATTCCTAGAGGCAGCAGGAGGAATGACCTCAAGAAAACGCATATAGCTAATTGGTTTATTGTTTCTTTACGTGTAGTGTCACGAACCTAGGTGTGGGAAGCATATCGGCGCTTCAAAATTCTTGCGACCCTCTCTTGAATTCTCGCCGTCTTGGATTTATATCCAAAATCTAGACAAAGGCAATCCATCACTGTCAGAATACCACGCCTATCTGACCAATCATTCACCATCCTGGTCCTATTGTTCCCATTCTGCAACAAAATTCAGAAATTTTAAAGAAATGTCAATCGTTATTTTCTGTCTTCTTAATTCCTGTTCTTTTATTGTTCTCTCTCTTTAATAGTTTTTTTTCTCATATTCCCTCATACTCAGTAATTCTTTGTATCTTGGTGGCTTTATTGCCTTCCTTGAGGAGAATTTTTTATCTACGCTTATATTTATTGGTACATCTAACAAAACCTTACAAAGCAAAATTATTGGACACACATCAATAATCTACCTTCCACATTGACTATTGTCTCCTTTATTTACTATGACGTCGGTCAGGCGTCAAGAATAATTTGAATAATGTTTCCAACTCAAATTAGATCAAATTCTATTCGGCTCCTGTTGAAAAATCATCTCAAGATTCAAACGAAGTTTTCATTCATTTTTTTCTATTTTTTTTTTTTTTTTTTTTTACTATAATAAATATTTAGGTATCTGGCCTTTGCTTTCTACGGCCAATTACTTCCAAGGTCGCTAACTGTATATTTCGTCGCTAAGCAGATAAAGCTCCGCAAACAGGTAACTTATTCTGTTCGATGTGTTTGCATGCCACTGTTCTGCAACAAGCAACGTGTTTATATATATATATATATATATATATATATATATATATGTGTGTGTGTGTATATATATATATATATATATATATATATATATATATATATATATATATATACGATGCAATGAGAATGAAAATAATATATAAATTCTAACGTTCACAGCATCAATCCAAAAGAGGGCTCAATATCGATAGTAGAGCGATGATTATTTATTATAATTTTATTATATAGACAAAACCATTTTACTCACTACAAAGACGCAACTTAGTTTCAGTGCATTTCAACTGCACTTCGACGGGTGAGAACCAAATTTGGAAAGATAACCAATTTTAGTTCTCATCAGTCGAGGTGCAATTGAATGCATCGAAACGAAACTGCATTTTTTGTAGTGAGTAAAAGTTTTTGTCAGTATGAAAAAATCATATATATATATATATATATATATATATATATATATATATATATATATATGTCATACTTATTATAAAAGGCAGCTTGTGTGTTTGTGTGTCTGTACGTTTTTATATTGGATCGGATTTCCTACATTTTTTCAACCGATTTCAACAAAACTTCACAGGACTACGTAAAATTACCTTGCGGTGGTTCTGACAGCACCAAAAATTGAAAAAAAACAATTGTTTTTGCACGAAATCAATTTGAAAACACGATTAAGAGGCATCGCGAGAATGAAAGAGGGACAACTCATATTCAGTTATACTTATAAAACCCAGGTTGTCTGTGTGTGTATGTGTGTGTGTGTTTGTGTGTGTGTGTGTGTTCGTTTATATATGGGATCGGATTTCCTACATTTTTCAACCGATTTCAACAAAACTTCACTTTTTTTTTTGGCAGATAGTGTTTCTTATTGTCTTGCACACTTTTTTCTATATTTTTACATTCAGAATGCTTTAAAAATTCCTTTTACAAGACAATTGTTTATAATAAAATTCTATTCAATCGGTAGACTCATAACGATTGAAAACAATGTTTTTGTTTGAGTTTGGGTTCGACCCCCACCAAAAAAAAACTAATTAAGACATGCGTGTCCGTCAACCTTAAACAACAATCTTTGTCAATTTTATTTTTCAGTCTTTATGATGGTCGATACTTGATCTATCTCTTACTGTTACATCCCCGGGCAGCGCCGGGCTCTACTGCTAGTATATATATATATTGTAATGACAAAAGTACCCAGGTGTAGGCTTTAAGAAGTCTTTATTCAACTGAGAATACAAGATTCGCGTATAGTGTCCTTTTATAATTCCAGTAAACATAAATAGCTCTCTTAAAGAGACAAATAACAAAACAAGGAGAGACCACACTTGATTATTCAAAATATATATATATATATATATAGAGAGAGAGAGATAGAGAGAGAGAGAGAGAGAGAATTATTTATTCGAAAATTATAACACAAATATGTTATAAAATCACTACAAAAATAGCCATTTTGTTTCAACACTTCTGGTGTCTTATCAAGTGATGGTGTTGAATGTATAATAAAGGGTTTTAAAAAGTTCAAATCAATCAAACACCCCTCGCAAGGGGAAACTCTGTTACATAAGCTGGAATGACCAATCAAAATACATATACGAGAATTCAAAAAACTTGACAACAAACTAAGGTTATAATAGCTATTTAATGCCTTAATGTTGGGAGTTAGACTAAAATAGAATTTATTCTAATAAGTATTAAATTATACGATAAAATTTAAAATTAAAAATTAAAATTATCCATTTTAAAAATTAATCCGTATTAAGTTTAAAATTATAAAATTACTGAGGAAAAAAGAAAAATACATGTTATTCTATTTATTTTGTTTTTATTGAAATTAATTTGGAATAAACGTTAATATCAACTGTTTTTCAGATCTTCATGACAACATAGATACATTTGAATCATAAACAGAGGCAGAGGAGGATGACATCTTACAAAAGACAATACATACACAATCAGATTATAATACATACGGATGCGGACGTATTTAAATATATATACACACACAAAAAAGTAACGAGACAGAAAATATCTCCACGACCCTTTACAACAAAAAAAAAAAACATACATATACAATGAAAGGTGCATCCAAGTTACAATACACACAGACACCGATAAAGACACGTACATACACCCACATACATTGACATAGATATTCCATTACAACAACCAAGAAAGATTGAAAGTGTTATTAAATGAATGTATATATATATATGTGTGCGTCTGTAAAATTCTTCTGAGTCAATAAAGAAGAACAGACAGTGATATCTGCAGAATCGGGGCCCACGTCTGGAGGGGGGAGCCGCATAGACAGTATGTACAGGCAATCGAAACTTATCCAAATTTGTCTCTCATAATTTCTCTATTCGTCCACACCAAAGATTCGGTGGAAATAAATGCATTTACCATAATCTGTTCATTTTAAGATTCTTCATAACTCTTTTTTCAACCACGTTTTGGGGATTAGATTTTTTTCATTTCTGATTCTTAGGTTTTAAAGCATTTTTAGATCATAAAATGTACGTTTTTAATTGTTCATTTTCTTCCAGGTGTCTGTTTGGATTCATGTATCATTTGTCCATTGTGTCAGACCAACTAATTATTAAAAAATGTTATAATGGCGTCGCATACGAACACAGTCAATAGAAACACGTTTCTTCAGGCAGGTTATCAAAAAGACGCCTAAAAACTCAAGAACATTTTCGGAGAACTCTAACAGAACAAATAATCTTCATTTCCTTCGATGTCCTCAGATATTGATATGACACCCTTGATTCGGTATCTTCTACCTTGAGCGGCTCTTAAGCATTTTATTGGGGGAACATTAATTTAAAAAGAACTTATTTCAAGTACAATGTAAACCCATATAATATGACGCATATAAAAATACCATTACTCAAAGAGAGACAACAACCTGATTAGATCCACGAATGATTTGTTTTGTTTTTTTCTACATATGCTATTCTGAGAGGTTTCTTTCTATTTCTCTTAACACACATATATAGAGAGAGAGATTTAACAAACAGAACAGATGAGAGATGAACAGATAGATAGATAGATAGATAGATAGATAGATAGATAGATAGATAGATATGAAAAAACTAAGATAGATAGATAGATAGATAGATAGATAGATAGATAGATTGAAAAGATAGAGATAGATAGATAGATAGATAGATAGATAAAACTATATATGAAAAAGACTGTAAGATAGATAGATAAATAGATAGAGAAATATATTTCTGAGATGAGGTACTATGTACGCTATTTACATTTTTCGGACTATTGTTCTCATCTTTGTCGCCATATTTATTATAACGTTTCGGCCGTTGTACGCTCCGGCCTTCTTCAGGTGGTTGGAATGTCGAACTGAACCCTTTATTTTGCTCACTCGGGTAAACTGTTCTAGTTCCACGTGCATTGTTTAATGGATGTCACTTATCAGTTATCTCCTATTAACAGAGGGCGGTGATCTCCCTGTTCTTGAATCTTTACATTAAGGGGGCAGCCTGTCTCTCCTTTATATTTCTTTCCGCAGCTGCATGGGATAGAGTACATGGGATTCGATCCCTGCTTGAAGCTGTGGTATTTATTTATGGTTTTTGTATATATATATATATATATATATATATATATATATATATATATATATATATATATTGCTGTGAAAAGGTTAACCTGAATATTATTTGGCATAATCCAAAACGGGTGGTAAAAAAAAAATTAATGAAGGAGGAAAACTAACCAATTTCGCTCCTGCTCTTCAAAGTTTTTAATCGGGAGATTCTTAAAAGAGTAAAATGCAATAAATATAATTAGCGAATGAAAGGATGGAGAAGGAAAAAATGTGAGGGGGAGTACTAGAGACTAATGATAGCAAGCCCCAGCAAACAATCACGCTGTTTAGAGAGAGGCGATTTCCGAGACTTGATATACAGTGACTCTACTACTTGAAAATAAATGAAATAAAGAGTTTGACTGGGACACAACAGTAAACCAGTCAACACTGAATTCAGCCGCACATTAGGTTTCATTAAAACGTTTCGCAAATTGAGGATCTGTATGGGTATATATATATATATATATATATATATATATATATATATATATATATATGTGTGTGTGTGTGTGTGTGTGTGTGTGTGTGTGTGTGTGTGTAAATGCTTTGTTGTTATTTTTACTATAATAATGTATTTTTATGGCGGGGAGTTCACTATTTATTTCATAGTTGGGACCCTAACAGGTGCTACGGCCCTGGGTTATGGCGGACCTGGGAACAGCAGCAATGAAGATGTGCTTCCACACTCCTCAAAATCAATGTCCCGATCAAGGGCTTTGCTGCCGGGTGTAGTTTATCGTCATACCCAAGAATTCACTGACACAAAGAAGCAATACAGTTTCCTCATCCTTAATCTAAAAAAATCGCGGGGATAGATTGTTTCTAATTTCACGTGCCAGGCCTTTTATAATTCCCACTTGATAGCGCGGTCCAATGGTCAAAAGCGTTGGATGAATGATCCAAAAGTGACTTGACCCAAAGAGTTGTGAGTTCAATCACGGACCAAGGTAGGGAGAACAAAACTTGGAGAGCTATCAAGAGCAACTAAGTAAAAGTGACATATCCATAAAAACAAAGGTATGGTACGTAAAATACGAAATCCTTGTGGGCTAAATAAAGGGTTCAATTCTAAATTCCAACGGGCGGGGAATACAACGGTCCAAACGGCGTTAATAAAGTTGAAGACAACAGTCCGAACAATAGAGGTTATTTTTATGGACAGATTTCAACGGGGTAGATTTCGTGGGTAGCTTCTCCGACGGAACAATTGTCTAATGAATTATATCTGAGACATAGTAATTGTGAGTTCAATCCTTGGTCCAGGTAGAACAAACTTACACAGAGGCACCGGGGTGGGGAGGAATAACTGAGCTATCCCTCGACCTGGACGAGGAGAAGAAGAAAAAGAAGTAAGGAAGGAAAAAGAAGAAGAATTAGGAGAAGAAGAATTAGGAGGAGGAGAAGGAGGAGGAAAAGAAAAAAGAAGAAGAAGAAAGGAAGGAGGAGAAGAAGAAGAAGAATTAGGAAGAGAAGAAGGAGGAGGAAAAGAAAAAGTAGAAAAAGAAAGAGAAGGAAGGAAGGAAGGGGAAGAAGAAGAAGAATTAGGAGGAAAAGGAGGAGGAGAAAAAGAGAAGCAGAAGAAAGAGAAGGAAGGAAGAAGAAGAAGAATTCGGAGGAGTAGAAGGAGGAAGAAAAGAAAAAAGAAGAAGAAAGAGAAGGAAGGAAGAAGGAGAAAAGGAAGAATCAGGAGGAGAAAAAGGAGCAGGAAAAGAAAAAGAGAAGACGAAGAAAAAGAAGGAAGGAGGAGAAGAAGGAAGAGGAAGAGAAAAAGAGGAGAAGAAGAAAGAAAAAGAAGGAAGGAGGAGAAGAAGAAGAATTAGGAGGAGAAGAAGGAGGAGGCAAAGAAAAAGCAGAGAAGAAGAAAGAGAAGGAAGGAAGGAGGAGAAGAAGAAGAATTAGTAGGAGAAGGAGGAGGAGGAAAAGAAAAAAGAAGAAGAAAGAGAAGCGAAGGAGGAGAAGAAAAAGAATTCGGAGGAGAGAAGGAGGAGGAAAAGAAAAAAGAAGAAGAAAGAGAAGGAAGGAGGAGAAAAAGAAGCAGGAAAAGAAAAAGAGGAGAAGAAGAAAAAGAAGGAAGGAAGAGAAGAAGAAGAATTAGGAGGAGAAGAAGGAGGAGGAAAAGAAAAAGGAGAATAAGAAAGAGAAGGAAAGAGGAGAAAAAGAAGAAGAAGGAGGAGAAGAAGGAAGAGGAAAAGAAAAAGAGAATGAAAAAGTATTGTACAAATTTTTGTGTCGAAGAATGTTAGCGTGTTTATACACACACACACACACACACGCACACATATTCACAAGAGAAAACCATTGATAATTTACACATCGACACTTAATAGCGCTGGTTTAGGACTTCAAAAAAGATTGTTTTTTCCATCTGCTCAATTACTTGGTACATTAAATACCAAGATCTTTGCATATCTTGGCTCTGAAAAACAATTACTCATCAGTCAGAAAGGCACGTAATCACTTATAAACAGTGTCGGCTGAAACAACCCAGATATAATAGCAATACTCCATTTCTGGTCTGATCTGGCTAAACATAGAACATGGCCTGGAATGAGCTTTAGACTAGGGGTTCTTAACCAGGGTCCACATTAACTTTAAATTAAATTTATAACTTTATTTGTATTTGTGATAGACATAATTCGTAAAAAGGATTAGAAAGAAGTAAATCTATATCTTTTTAAGGTTTTATTGAAATTTTATTAAAGATTCCACATGTCCTCCATCATTAGCAATACAAAGGGTAACACCATTTTGCTGTTCACGGAAAACATTTGCCAACTGATTTACAGTAATGCCTGAAATCACATTAGTTATTTTAGCTATACTTAAAACTAGGTACATTAAACTTTTATTAAAAAATTAAATTTCTATCCCAAATAAAAATAAAGTTATATTTTTTTTTAAAGTGCAAGAATGGGGATTCATTATATATATATATATATATATATATATATATATATATATATATATATATATATATATATATATATATATATATATGAATTTTTTTTTTTATTTCTTTTCTACAATGAAATTTCGATACCTAAGGTTTAAAATTAATTGCTACGTCATTGCTTTTCCAACATCTTGAATCTGGGTTTAGTCGTGTTTCTCAACTGTTATCAAAAGTTCGCAATAGACTTGACATTGTGAAAAGAGGTGATGTTCAATTATCAATTAATTCAATGGAACCAGATATAAAGAAACTTGCTGAGCAACATCAACCACAGGAATTTCATTAAATAAATATGCCTTTCTTTAGGATAATCTAATCACTTAACAATTTAAATTTTAAATTGGTAAATAAAATATTTTGATATATAAATAAATGCTATATGAATTAATTGCCTGATGGATTCCCCTTCATGGATCAATTGGAAGAAACATTACATTAATATTGTAGAAACAAGATATTGGTCAAGAAAAAATTATCTAGATAAGTATTAATAAATATTATTATTACTTTTATAATGTCGCCATATTTATTACAACGTTTCGACCCTTCAGTATCTGTCTATATTTCTGAGATGAGGTATTATGTACACTATTTACATTATTCGGACTATTGTCTTCATCTTTGTCGCCATATTTATTACAACGTTTCGACCCTTCAGTATCTCTATATTTCTGAGATGAGGTATTATGTACACTATTTACATTATTCGGACTATTAAAATCATCTTTGTCGATAATATTTATTACAACGTTTCGACCCTTCAGTATCTGTCTATATTTCTGAGATGAGGTATTATTATGTACACTATTTACATTATTCGGACTATTGTCTTCATCTTTGTCGCCATATTTATTACAACGTTTCGGCCTTTCAGTATCTGTCTATATTTCTGAGATGAGATATTATGTACACTATTTACATTATTCGGACTCTTGTCTTCATCTTTGTCGCCATATTTATTACAACGTTTCGGCCTTTCAGTATCTGTCTATATTTTTGAGATGAGGTATTATGTACACTATTTACATTATTCTGGACTATTGTCTTCATCTTTGCTGCCATATTTATTACAACGTTTCGGCCTTTCAGTATCTGTCTATATTTCTGAGATGAGGTATTATGTACACTATTTACATTATTCGGACTATTGTCCTCATCTTTGTCTGCCATATTTATTACAATATTTTGGCCTTTCAGTATCTGTCTATATTTCTGAGATGAGGTATTATGTACACTATTTACATTATTCGGGCAATTGTCCTCATCTTTGCTGCCATATTTATTACAACGTTTCGGCCTTTCAGTATCTGTCTATATTTCTGAGATGAGGTATTATTATGTACACTATTTACATTATTCGGACTATTGTCCTCATCTTTTGCCATATTTATTACAACGTTTCGGCCTTTCAGTATCTGTTATATTTCTGAGATGAGGTATTATGTACACTATTTACATTATTCAACAATTGTCCTCATCTTTGCTGCCATATTTATTCAACGTTTCGGCCTTTCAGTATCTGTCTATATTTCTGAGATGAGGTATTATGTACACTATTTACATTATTCGGACTATTGTCCTCATCTTTGCTGCCATATTTATTACAACGTTTCGGCCTTTCAGTATCTGTCTATATTTCTGAGATGAGGTATTATGTACACTATTTACAT